CTTATGGGATTTCGTTACAATTTATAGATAATAATGTTGTTTTAGTGTGGTCTTAAACTTTTGGCCTGCAGTGTATTTTAGAACTCCATTCGATTAAGAATTTAATTGAGTATTTCATGTATGCGCATATTTTTTGCCGAGCTTATACTTCAAGTCAAACCTGCCGTACAGTACTAGGCTAACATAACTTACGGAATGCTGGGAGTACTAAATTGAATCCGGGTAGTCGGTAACGATATCTGTCCACGTCCAATTTAACAACGCCTTAACGATACAGGAAAAACTAGCGTGGAGAAGTGCTTTATTAAAAAAAAAAAACAGGTTTTTATATAAGCTGGTTTTCTTACGATGTTTTACCCTACTACCGAATTCGTGGAAAGCCAAACAGTTAAAATTACATTTAAAAATTTCAGTGGCCAGCGGGGATTTAACTCATGTTGCTCTAGTGAACATTCATAGGGGGGTATTTGCCATAGTTGCCACGCTTGGCGAGCGGGTTGGCAACCGCAGTTTTTTTTATTATAATTTTGGCTATTATCAGGAAGATGCTGCTGCCCATCTCCTGCCTGTTTCCCTTTGTCGCCTTTTACGACACCCACGGGAGGATATGGGGTAGTGGTATTCTTGACCGCCACTACACGGCTAAGGATAGGTCTTAAGATGAACATGGACAAAACTAAGATCATGTTTAATGTCCATGTCACACCTATGCCGGTAGTTGTTGGGAACACTAAGCTCGAAGTTGTTGACGAGTATGTTTACCTGGGACAAATAGTCCGACTGGGTAAGTCCAACTTCGACCGAGAGGTCAATCGACGGATTCAACTCGGCTGGGCAGCGTTCGGGAAGCTACGACACATCTTCTCGTCAGACATACCTCAAAACCTTAAAACGAAATTGTACAACCAGTGCGTGTTGCCAGTGATGACTTACGGAACTGAGACGTGGTCCTTCACTGCTGGCCGTATGAGGAAGCTCAAGGTCGCTCAGCGAGCTATGGAGAGGGCTATGCTCGGAGTTTCTCTGCGTGATAAACTTAGGAATGAGGATATCCGCAGTAGAACCAGAGTGACCGACATAGCCCAACGGATTAGTAAGCTGAAGTGGCAGTGGGCCGGCCATATAGCTCGAAGAACCGACAACCGATGGGGAAGAAAGGTTCTCGAGTGGCAGCCTCGTACCGGTAGGCGAAGTGTAGGGCGTCCCCCCACGAGATGGAGTGACGACCTGGTAAGACATGCAGGAAGTCGATGGATGCAGGTGGCTCAGGACCGTGTTTTGTGGCATTCTTTGGGGGAGGCCTATGTTCAGCAGTGGACTTGTGAAGGGCTGTAATGATGAATGATGATGCTCTAGTGAAGTTTATGACAAAACCACCATAAATTTAAAATATAACGTTTAATTATTTATTATAGTTTTTAATATTTGTTACATTATAATAAAATTAAAATTAATTTCCCGCTTTGAAAATTAATCGTTTTCAAAAGTAGAAATTCTGGTCTGATTTTGAGAATGCGAGTTTTCATCAAATCTCCACGTTCTGAGGTCCTAGGAAGCCGTTCCGACTATACCCGGCTGCCGGCTAGATGTCCGGCCGTGTGTGTGTATGTGTGTGTGTGTGTGTGTGTGTAAATAAAATTTTGTCGTTCGATATCTTTAGAACTAATCAACCGATCGGGATTTGCGACACGGCGTTCGAAAGGTAATGAGACTTCGAGTTGATTAGATTTTCAAATCAATGGGTTGCGTTCGAAAATAAGCATTCCAGGGATGGCCTGCACGGTCAACCGTTGTTCAGTTTTTTTTTTCTCTTGTGGTGTCGTAAGAACTTAAAATCGATTACATATTACAAAGTCCGTTTAAACCAGTACTCAAACCATATAATTATATGAGTGGCTATAAATTTATAATAGACCACACATCATACCATAGGATTATTCTAACGATTATAAATCAAACAGTCAATAGCTGCGTAACCTCCCTACTATGTGGAAAGATAAGCTCATTTTCAACCGACTTCAAAAAGCAAGAGGTTTTCAATTCTTGGAAATATTTTTTTTAATTTTCAATGATACTTTTTTGTTATACAGGTGGTCAGGAGTGAACATATATAAATTTGGTCAAGATACGAGTATGATGATGAGATCCGTTTGAAAATTATGAAATTTGCAGTCATCTGGGCGAATAATTCTTTAACACGCCAACTGATTTCGATGATTCATAATTTTTTTTAGTTCTATTAAGTAGGTTTTATTTTTTAAAAGTTTAATTACTTATAGCCAGGAACACCCAGCACAACACTATATTTCTCGTCTATTTTCTTTTTAACCGACTTCAAAAAGGAGGAGGTTCTCAATTCGAGGGCAAATTTTTTTTTATAGGTGTATGTTACGCGATGTTTTCGCAGCTTGTGAACCGATTTTGACGATTATTTTCTACCGACTTCAAAAGGGTACTCAATTTGACTGTATGTTTCTTTTTATGTTTGTTACCTCATAACTTCTTACTGCGTGAACCGATTTCGATAATTCTTTCTTTATTTGAAAGCTGATGCTTCCCATGTGGTCCCATATAAATTTAATCAAGGTATGACCAATAGCTTTTGAGTTATTCTTAATAACTTACATTCGGTTGTACAAAATTTTTAATTTTTAATTATTTATCAAATAATTTATGCTGCAAGGGTGGTCCCATGTAAATTTGCGTAGCAAATAAATAACTTCTTTTTTAGCAATTTGAAGTCGGTATTCACTTTTTGTTAAAAGTTGAAATTATTTCTGTAACTTACTAAAAAGTTTTCTACGACTATAATCATGCTTAGAAATTTCAAAGTAATACACATTCGCTTCCAAACATTCTTTTACTGGTACCAACTGCGAATGGAAAGTGAAAGGAACACCTTATTAAAGCGTCGGAATCGCTGTTCTTCGAAAAACTCCCTGTTAATAGTCTAAAGAAAAAAAAAAACTCCGCTTTTTCTTTTGTACTTCAAAGATAGATTATTGCCGCCAGCACATTCGCAACAGAGTTAACAAAGGACGCCAATTTTTGAAACAATAACGTAAAAGAAATTAAAGACAAATAACTAGGGAACACCATCTTCTTAAATTACCTACGCACGTAATTTAATTTTTTTTTTTCATTTTCTACATAGCATAAAATGACTGGCAACATTACGCCAGTATATTCTAAGTCTATGGGCAATATGGTATTGATGACGAAATAACACAATAATTAGTAAGTACCGTAAAAAAGAGTATTACCTAATTAGTTAGTTTTTGCGTTCCTACAGGTAGGTATAGAGTAAGAATGAAAATGATTTAAGAGAATTAAAAAATTAAAACACCTTAGAAGTACCTAACTACCCATAAAAACATTATATAAGACATATTATTTATACTTTAACGAGGATATCCGCTGAATATCAAGGTATTTGAGATAGCCCAGCGGATCAATAGAATGAAGTGGTAATGGGGCGGCCATATAGCTCGAGGAACCGATATCCGATGAGGAAGAAAGGTTTTTGAGTGGCAACCTCGTAGTGGTACACGCAGTGTAGAGCGACCCGCACTAGCTGGTATGACGTCCTGGTGAAACTTGCAGATAGGTAGACGATGGATGGAAGTGGCTCAGAACCGTACGTTGTTGTGGCAATCTTAAAGGGAGGTCTATGTTCAGCAGTGGACTTGTTATGGATTTTAATGATTATGGTGATGATTTACACTTGTAGATATTTTGAACTTTTTAAAATACCCACTCCAGTGTTGGGGAATAGTCAGCTGCTGATATAAGATTACGGCATGTACATTGAGATTACGGCAGACCCTTTTTACTGGAAGAGGAATTCCATCTTAGTCCTCAAAGCTGACAACGCATCTGCATTTGATGAAACGAGGATAGATGTAGATGTCTATGGGCCACAGCAACCACTTACCATCAGGTGGACTGTGTGCTTGTTTGTCACTCTATTTTTATTAAAAAAATATCCACCCTCCATCTCCAATGGGAGAGGCCCATATCCTTCATTGAACTGCTGGTGCAAACGTTTGTATTATATGTTGGTGAAAAAGTTGTAATTTTTAAAAAACGGTTTACGTATTAGAATTTGGAGTTATGTTTAAAACTAACAATTTATTTTGTATAATTATGAATAAAATGTTGTTACATTTTAATAAATTAATCAATGCAGATATTAGGTACGAATTAGTACGATTATCAATAATCTTATTTTTAGGCATAATACATAGGAATCTAAAATATACTACAAAAGTATTTACTATTTACCGTACCTATTGCACATACTAAGGTTGTTGAAATTGTTATTTTTGAATAGGTATAAAATCACATACAGATAGGAAAAAACATTAAATTCCAGATAAGCAAAAACAAAGAAATTTGTTCACCCGAAGTGGACACACAGAATACGCAAACTATACATACCTGTCTATAAGAAGACCTGCATTGTCATTTTATGCTTTCAAAGTTATCGATTGTTTTGTTGGGAATACCAACCACAATAATGCTACAGGTACAATCTTAATATAACATTTTAGTTTTTAGGTTACCTATAAAAAAAATAGTTAAAGTATAAGTTACATACCATATTATTCAAAAACCGTTAAAGTCTCGGCCTTACTAAGGAATTCCAGATGATATTCACATAATTGCCAGTGTGCACATGATATTATAACCAGCACATATACATCACGACCACGGCACAACGGATTTCTTGTTCACGAGATGAATCACCAAAGAATGCACAGGTTAACACTGTAATTTTTACACTGAACTTTGACTTAACACACTTTAGCAAACATTTATAAATTTATGAAAATTTCGCAATTAAATGTTACCATTTTTTAATTAATCACGACGCCAGATAAAAGTTTCGATATAAAACGGCAACACGTCATCCTAAACAACACCCAGCGAATGACTGGTTGAGCTAGAGTTGTTGAATGCTACGGAGAAATATAACCTTACAAAATCAAAATACCCACGCGTGCAGTGGCGCCTCCATAATCAGACGCTCTTTTTAATTCTGCCAGTTAATCCAAGGCGTACTTTAAACAAAAGTCTATAAACTTAAGTTAAGGCGATACACATACAGGTTGCTATTTAAATATCATTGTTTTCATTAGAGTTGTTAAATAATAGCTTCGAGTGTGTTTTTGAGCATCAATAAAACTTTAACTCGCGAATTGTTTTCGTTCTGAGCACGAACGCAGTGCTCACGCTTGAACACAGCAGCGGTCGGTATTGCACTGAGTACGTAAAACACAATACACATGCACGTACCTAAGTTCAGTGCAGAGTACAGAATTGGGTAGAATTGGATGGAGCCAACGCCAAGCGCACCCAGGCTAGTGCAGCCTGTTTTTTTTTTTTAAGTTTCTTATAACTTTCTTGTTCTGTAAAATAATAAAGATGATACCGCAGCTTCTTGATTCATTGGTTTCTATGTTTATAAAATTATTATTCCTATACTTTTATTGTGAGCCGTGGCCTCAGGAACGAAGCACCAGCCGTAGATTTTTGAAGTGAAACTTCTTTAATATCTTCATTGAACTATTATGTACTAAAGTACGTTAGTACATAATATCTCAATGAATATCTTTGTGATTTGGATCGCGATGAAACGAAAAAGTGAAACTAAAAAGAGACAAAGATATACATCTATATGATTAGGCTGCGAGAGAATGAGACAGTATTTATACAAATATAATAAAGCGGAAGATGTTTTTGTTTGTTTACATATAAACACGCTAATACCACCTACCACCTTGATAAATTCTTTACTTTATCTCGCTCATTTTTCGAGATATCGATACTCAAATAATTGTAGGGCTGTAAGAACCGTAGTCGTGCCAAGCAGTTCAATGCGGCTTTGTATGGCGTGTGTAGAGAACCGGAGATCCTCTTTACTGGAAACGAGACATTCCACCTTAGTACTCAGGGTACACACACAATTATTTACTCTGTGACTCAGGGGTGGCAAAGCATCTGCATTTTATTTCTTAATCAAGGATAGATGTATCGTAGATGTCCATAGGCTACCACTTACCAACAAGTGGACTGTGTGGTCGTATGTCACCTTCATTCTATAAAGAAAATCGATTCCATTCTTCTATCTTTTGGATTTCGACATCTCATGTTAGCAACGCCAATTTCAATTTGGGATTTGGTGTAGTGCGTTCGTTGATTTCATACTTTTTTTCCAAGACTTTTTTTGCATAAATTTTGGCGACTAAAGCAAAAATACACAAAGACAATTATATATGCACTAGTTATTTCTTTCCTTCACCATTGCATGCATTTTGTTTAGCACCTGTCATTTATTTTTGGCAACCCGAAGGAAGCGCGCAACATTTGGTGAACAAAAAGTTACTTTATTTAAAACGTTTTTGCTTATTATCCAGAAATAAAGGATCTAAATAAAAATGTAGCCGATCAAGAATCTGATTATATAACATACCTTTCATCATATCTTTCGTTTATGCGCTGCTATACCGTTCATAAGATTGCGCTAAAACTTCGTCAACTTATTGCTTGCACTTGTGAGAAGATTATAAGCATAGTACAATTAATTTACCAAAGTGTAGGGCGTCCCCCACTGCCCAGCTAGCATGGGCGGGGGACAATTTTATCCCCGGGGAAAGGAGAAAATGTTTATCCCCTATCTTAGCTTTATCCTCCCTTAGAGCAAGGGCACACCGGTGGATATAATATCCGCAGTAGATATATTGGGAGATAGACTTAGACTTAGATAGATTTTTTTTATGAATATAAACTTCAACCCACGTCCAATGAACTAGGATAAAATTGTCCCTTTCAAATATCAAAAAAGCATAATTTTTTATCTTTCATTTGGCTGCATGCTACGGACGGGAGATATATTATGTCTACTCGTTATGTCAAACGGGGATATACTTCTCCCCGTTTGACATAACAATATAATTTTATCTCTTGTCGGGGGATAAAATTTTTGTCCCCCGCCCATGCTAGCCGGGCTGGATGGAGTGATGACCTGGTAAGACAAGCAGGAAGTCAATGGATGCAGGTTCCTCGGGACCGTGCTTTCTGGCGCTCCTTGGGGGAGGCCTATGTTCAGCAGTGGATTTGTGAAGGGCTGTAATGATGATGATGATGACGATGATGAATTAACTTACGGTAGGTGACGCGCGTATCGTACCAATAAATTCTTTTGAAAGTTATATATCACTCAACTCCAATAAGTATTATCGTTCCTAATCTATACAAATAAATAAAATTGAAGTTCTGTTAGTGTCTGTTTGTAATTTTAAAATAACAGCTTTTTACTAATTACATATGTAAGTATATACATTAGTAATAACAAAAAAACTGTTTTTAAACAAATAATTTCTAATATTTACGCGAACACTATGTACACATTTAAATAAAACTAATTTTACGGATTTTATCGCATGTATTAACTTATTTTATATTCCCTACGATACGCTCACGTAAAGTGCTCGAAACGTCGGGAATATAAAATAAGTCAATATACGCGATAAAATCCGTAAAATTAGTTTTATTTAAATTTTTAAACTATTTGTCTGTCTGTCTGTCTCTCTGTTTGTTCCGGCTAATCTCCGAAAAGGCTGGACCGATTTTGAAGGAGCTTTCACTGACAGATAGCTAATGTTATAAGGAGTAACTTAGGATACTTTTATTTTAGAAAAATAATTAGGGTTCCGTGCAAAAAATTAAAACCCATGAAATCGTAGTAAATTCCACGCAGGCGAAGTCGCGAGGGACAGATAGTTTAATATTAAATGATTAAAGTTTTAAGAAACAACGATTTTTATAATCACTACGTGTTCAGTGATATGTGTTTATTGATATACTAGTCTGCCCCGCGGTTTCACCCGCGTTATCACGTGTCCGAGGTGCGCGACATGACATGACACCTAGTTCAAGCATTTTATAATTGCAATTAAATATTTTATTTGATAGCAATGTATGGAAAAATTGGCATAACTAATGGAGTACTTTTATCTGTCGGCATATTATGTATGATGTAGAGCGAAGTTAAGTTTTATCCACTTTCCCTCCCCCTCCCGGTTGAGCGTCCCCCCCCCCCCCCCCTCAAGTCCCAGGAAGTGTCCCAAGGCGCAGGTTTTTCCAGTTTAAAAAAAAACCGTACACGATACAAGAAAAGTGTGTAGGCATGAAATGATTCTTGATAAATTTGCTATCAAACTTATACTTATTAATCAATAAAATTTTCAAAATACCATAGCAACGTGAAATAAAAGAGTTCAGAAATCAAGGTGTAACTAATCATTGTCATAAAAGTACTCAATTAATTTTTAATTTATTTTAGCTATAATGATTGAAATAACCTCGCTCATAGAAGCTTTCAATACTGTTCTCACCGGCCGGGTAGGGTTTATGCGTCGTTCGCGCGCCCAGCCAAGTATTGAATTATTTTAATTTTACATTATCTCTTAAACTATGCGTCCAAATAAAATGGTATAAAGAACAAAGTTTATCTTTATAAATTTGTCTTGATGATGAAGTAATTTTCGTTCGTAAGGATAAATAGACCATGCCTAATAATAACCCTTATAAATCACTTTTTATTTTTCAATATTTTTTGTCACAAAATACCTAATTATGGCTTATGTATAAGAAATAGACATATGGTATCGCGGACTTTTTTTTAGATGGAGTAAAGATCTAATTTTTCTAGAACATTGTATTTACGTATCCCTCCTCATAACACCAGCGTACGCGGATAAATCATCTCGGGAGCGCTTTTTCTTCTGACTTGCTAAACAAATATCCATATTTAAGGCTAGCTGAGTGATATAGCTTAATGCTATATAGACTATACTATTCCACATGAATCTGGCTATAATATACAATAAGAATTTTTCAAATCGGATTGGTAGTTTCAGAGATTGGCGCGTTTAAACAAACAAGAAAACAAACAAACTCTCCCGCTTTATTATATTATAAGTATATAAGTATAGATCAAGAAACGCGGACGAAGTCGCGAGTATCAGCTAGTTAAACAGCATGACTCTTTCTAATTTAAAACGATACTACCAACTAGTCACTTATAAACACGAGAAAACGAACGTCAAAGGTTTTTGAAAATCCATTCGCTTTAGAATTTAATTGTGTATTTTATGAAAGCGCATATTTTTCCGAGCGTTTACTATTTTCAAGAGGTATCAAATCTCGCGTGTCGAACCCCGTACCTATCATCCAGTGGGTGATAAAGGGGATAGTGAGAAACTGAATCAGGAGAGGCATTAGCATCTTCCTGGTCACAACCCAAACAAAACAAGTGTGCAGTTATCATGCGGTAAAAGTGAAACCTTCAAATTTAATTAAATCTATACAAATAAATAAAATTGAAGTGTCTGTTTGTAATGTCTTTATACTTTATATGAATGTATATACGGTACTTAAAACAAAATCACGATTTTTAAATTTTTTGTCCGTCTGTCTGTCTGTTTGTTCCGGCTAATCTCCGAAACGGCTGGATCGATTTTGAAGGGACTTTCACTGACAGATACCTAATGTTATAAGGAGTAACTTAGGATACTTTTATTTTAGAAAAACAATTAGGGTTCCGCCCAAAAAATTAAAACCCATGAAATCCAATCGTGATAATTTACGCGCGGGCGAAGACGCGGGGAACAGCTAGTATTAAATAAAAATATTTCATGGCAAATTATTTATTTAATATGATAATTTTCAACTACAAGTGCTGAAGTTTTCTACTTCAACTTTTTTTTAGGTGAACCGATAGTGATGGTTTTTTTTTTATTTCAAAGCTGTGCTACATAAACAAAAGCTTCTCGTGTGGTCCCATATTAATTTGATCAAGGTCTGACCAGTAGTTTTTGAGTTATCCATAATAATTTATATTGAAGTTGGTTCTATAAAATTATTAATTTCACCACTTGTTCGACATGTAGATTAAATTTTAGTGTAGGTAATTAAAAAAAATACTATTTTCTTTACAGTAAAATTGCTTTACAATAGCTCCATCTACTTCATTTTTTTATGGTATAAGGGTGACAAACGAGCACACAGTCCACCTGATAGTAAGAGGTTGCTGCGGCCCATAGACATCTACATCTATCCTCCAATACAAATCAAAATGCAGATGCGTTGTCACCCGTGAGGACTAATATGGAATGCCTTGTTTCCAATAAAAAGGGTAATTAATAGTTCTCAAGTTAATTCCAGTAGAACAGATCCATCTTTGTCAAGTTAGACAACAGG